CTTGTTCCCTGAATTTTTCCGCCATTAAAAATTCCATGACTTCCGCCAGGTTTGAACCTGCGTACCTTGAGTCATGAGGTGCGAACGTTACCCCTAGACTACGGAGGCCGCTATGCAACCACCATACTTCATTCCCCATACATATTGGATAAGAGGGAGTGTACTGTATTTCTTTTTGTGTAGTATAAAAATAGTTGGGTGGATTATTTGATATTTGAAAGAATGTCTTAGCACTTAGATTGCAATAATGCTTTCATTGTTGCATTAAAGAAAGATCTTTATTAGATTCTGACAAACAGGGCACCACAATAACAACAAGCAACTTCTCAAAGTTTATGTGGCATGGCACTCTCTCACACAGAATAGTCTGAATCTCAACAAGACATTTTTATTCACTGGTCAGTAATGCAACAGATGATTGTTTATACTTGAGTTGAATTTTGACTGAATTTCGACCATGTGAAGAATGTTGTTTGTTAAACAAAAGATATTGAAACATGCTGAAGAATCCTCCTAGTATATATACTCCTTGGCAAAATAACACAGTTCTTTATCTAATGGCCATTTTTTCTCTTTATTTGTCATGCATTCTAAATAAACTGTAGATTTGTCATAATATGTAAGATTTGGCATATATTGCAGTATGCTCAGCTGTTACATAAAGAAATGTGGTATATTCCCAGTTTGGTAACTCTGTCACAGAAATAATTTAATCTGTGTTGTCTGGTCACCTTCATTTTAATTTTCATGACAATATTAGTAGGTAGAGTTTAATTTCAGACCTTTACAGTCATTCAGTCATACAGTGATCCTGTTTTTTTGGCGATTACGTCATGTGGAAGCAGTCTGAATTGCAGATGTCCTAGAGGTCCTTGCTGTCTCCATCTTCAAGACAAGGATGGAGACAGCAAGATAGCCTCAGTGGATTGTAAGGCTTCTTTTTTTCTTTTCTTTTTTTTTATTGCTAGTGGGGTGGGACTAACTAAGTCCCTTGTACTGCGGCCACTTCTGGCCTATTGTACCAGCCCCAGATGACAGGTGAGGGTGATTGTGGAACAATTGGTGGAATGAAGATTGGCAGGGGAAACTGAAGTACTCGGAGAAAACCTGCCTCAGAGCCACTTTGTCCACCACAAATCTGACTTGACCAGACCTGGGATCGAACCCGGGCCACTGCAGTGGGCGCAGTCATTGCAAGGCTTCCTTTCATTTTTACAGAAGACGTCTTCTGATTTTATTTGTAGTGCGTCAATTTCATACATATTCATAACAGATACATTTGTGTTATACTATATTCTTAGCAATTGCATACAGACCAATTACGGCTTGTAGTTCCAATGTGGAATTCGTATCTCATATTTTTCTTATATATGAATAATACTTGCCGTGGAATTTTAATGGACAGAGGCCTGGAAAGTTAATATAAGAGTGTCCCACTGTTAATGTCCAGACTTTAGAAGCATGAACACAAAATCATTTTCCATTCAAACCCTTTTATTACCAACTTCAGTGTTTAAAAACTAAATTATTATCAGCTTGACTGACTGAATTGTCAAATTCAAGATTCAGAGCTAAATTAAGTTCCCAGTGACGTCCTTTGGCTCGATTACATGCTGCTTGACATAACTCCATTTAATGTCTCATTTTTTTTCCCCACACTTCCGTCATTCCTTACTGTAACAGCAGTTTAATTTATGACATCCAACAGCGACTGCAATTGACTGACACTTCTGTGCAATGAAAAATGACTATATCAGTCCAATACAACAAGCAGACAGAAAATAAGTGTGTTACAGTGACACTAATGTTTTATGCTACAGCAGCACTTAACTTGATAATAGTGGTGAATTCTGCTATTGTGTGTACTGAAATTTTGATTCAAATTACCCATAGAAAATGCTCCTGGAGTCTAGCCACTAATGGTGCAACATTCTATATATCAGGGTGACTTGAATGTAAAAAGTGATGGTTATAATATAGTTCCATTGTGTTAATGCTACTTGCAGTATAGATGACAATGTCTTCCATATTTTAGTTATGCTAAGTGTATATTATACTACCCATAATTTACATCAGGTGATTTAGTAAAACAGGAATTGTGTGTGCATCGCCTCAGGTTCTCTGAAGAACTGTGATGAAATTGACATTTGATCAACAGCTAAATCAGCAGCCAGAACTTCTGTCTATTCCCTCTATGAGTGAGGTTAAGGAGTTAGATAATATAGCATTTCCTGAAGAGAATATATCCCTTGGGTTTTGGAACGATTATTCTTACTCTTAGTTATTTATAAAATTACCACATCTGAATAACAAAATTAGATAGAGGCACTAATGCGCTTTTGAAATAATTTTCTGAAATTTTATGACAGTTGTAAACTCTCAAATTACTTAATAGAACTATTTATAGTCCATGAAATTTCTATAATGTTATTTCAAAACATTTTGAAATTGTCTGACAGTGTCTGAAATATATCTGACATCTATATGATGCTTTACATACCCCTTGGGGGTTCCTTTAACCTCCCAGTTCAGAACCACTGATCTATTAACCAAATATGCAGGTAAAAGAGGCCAGAGAGATCGTTTGTAGTTCTCTCATGAAATACTGTAGAAAACTGCAACCAAATTAATATACAAAAGACAGCACCAAATTTATGGTCCATAAATTGTAAATACAAGAAATGCAGTAAGATAGTGTGTATGACAGGTGGGGTATGAAGCCTGCAGTCCCTGTTACAAACATGAAGTGTCCTTGGTGAGAAACTTCATTTATGTAAATAAGTATAGAATGCTCCCTTTTACAACTTCCTTCATGCATAAGATGGTACAGCATGCTTGGTACGAGTGTCATCCCTTTCTGTTATCTAGTATGAGTGATGCTTTGAATTTAATTTATTAAATTATTAAGTATTTAAGGGAAAATGTTAAAAGAGGTTAACAATAAGAGAAATTTGCCAGGTTTGCATGTTTTAGTGTTTTTAAGTGTATATAACAGATTTAATGAAATTTTATTTGAATGTTTTGACACTGTTGAAGCCAGAAGTACCTGTTGTTTCGGTTTTGCCATTCATGTATATGCAGACTCTTAATAAGGTAAGTGCTCCATCTTAATTCACATTATAGTGAAATGAAGTTGTACGCCATATTCGTAAGAGAGTTCTATAATTACATTAAAATTCTAATAACTGCTAAGAACAATAAATAAAAGGCCTATCTTTAATAGACTTAATAGCAATATAGCAATATTTGCTGCTGTGATAAAAGAAAAGCAGCCTTACTTACTTATTGTCAAAATGGTCGGCATTGCAGTTTTCTGTGACGAAACTGACATTAGGTTTTCTAGAACACATGACAATATTACTAATATAGTGTGTTCTAAACAGTTGTAAAACTATTATTTGGTATTTTTTTTACTATAATTTTTTTCTTAGAATGGAATCGTAGTAAGAAGCAACTGGCTGTCTACAATTATATAAAAAAATCTAAATTAAATTGGAAATAAAGTCAGTTGTGAGATTTTGTATATCACTTCAGTCTGAAGATTTTACGCAGTTTTATGCTGCTACTGTTACTATTATTTCTGTTTATTTCTACTTACTCCTGCTGACTTTGTAATTGGCCTCTGGGCAACTAAGTTTAAACATAAGCAAAAAAGAATTGAATTATTTTGATGATCTTCAATAGGAACAATATTGATGAAACAGAGGTTATTAATTTTGAGCAGGTGTATGCTTATATTAATTCAGTGACTGGTTTACAGAAGGTTCACCATCATACTTAGTAATACTCATATGTAACACAACTTACTAGTGTCAGTACCGCACTTATGCAGTGTCATGACACTGCCATAACTTAGTAATGACTTACTATCTTTAGTGATGTTAATGCGCTATATTGGGAGCCAGGACAGCACAGTCAGTATAGTGACTTGCTACAGGCTGGATGACCGAGGGGTAGGAGTTCAAGTCCTGGTAGGGTGAAGAATTTTCTCCACATTATCCAGACCAGTTTTGGGGCCCACCCAGCCCACTATTCAGTGGGTACCAGGGGCCCTTTCCCTGGGGTAAAGCAGCTGGGGTGTGAAGCTCACCACTCACCTCCAACTAGTGCTGAGGTCAAGAAAATGTGGATCTATACATCCACTCCCCCATACACCTTCATCTCCTAATGCTTAATTAGTTAAGCACAGGGACAACTTTACCTTTAATTTGTTGTATCAGTGATGTGACAGAAACACAGTACAAATATGTGATTGTAATTAATAATGTTATACATCTATATCATTGTATGTGTATAGTTCAACGGTAATTTTAATACATCTCCTTGAGTAGAAAGATTTCTTGCCATTTAAAATTGTGACTGTCACATTTTTACAATTTGATTACTCATATTCAACTTTGGTCCACATTAGATTATGTAATTCATCAAAATTTCTACCTTTGGCGCATGAATCCAATTCAGTAAGAATTTCACAAACTTCTTCAGCTATAAAATTCATGTTATGCCACCGCTGCAACAGGTATACTAAAATGGGTAACTAGCTTTCTTCCATTTATTCCATAACATTCAAGTTGAAAGAGGACATAGTCTTATTAAAAATTCACTGAATAGTCCAAGACAGAAGCATGTATCAGTGGGAAGCAAAGTTAGGGAACTTTACATTATAGGTAGCCTACTTCCATTTGCACATAAATATATCAAAGTGTTGGCTCATGAACTGAACTGGCTCCAGCAAGGCCTTGACAGAAAGTGGATAAAGTTTATTAGTTACTATCTCCAGTTCTCAGAATGTTTATGAGGGAATATATTTTGCTTTGGAGTGTAGCTAATGTTGTAATAGTTTGTTCTTTGTCTCAGACAGCTATTATGCTTGACTGTTGTGTGACACTGTCCTTTTTATAATGTATCAAAGAAGATGAGTGACTAATAGTTTTATTTTATGAACTGGGTTGGCTATAACCCTTATGTATGATTTTTAATAACATCTTTTATCCAGTTGTATTTTAAAGGTAGGATTTTTCAGCAAAAGAAAGTTTATTTTCATATGGAATAAAGTCATCCCTATGTACCAAAGATACAGAATGTATTCTTTGAAATGCACGCCTACATCCTGTTTATATGGCTCTCATAATAGTCACTGCTACATGACACAAAATTTGGCCAGTTCCTGCATCCCATTTCCATTGGTACAGACAGGTTCAATCTCCTCGACATCCCTGGCTCTGATTAGTTATTTCTCTTGTTCCCCATAGGTTGATACCTTCTCCCTTCTTGTATAGCCTATCCACATTGAAACTTGACTCACACCTGGAGGTAGCAAGCTTCCTCCAAATATCTGTAGTCACCGACAAGACATTATGGTATCACAAGCCAGAAGACAGCTGAAACAAGGAGATGAAAGAGCAGGTTTGTGTTGTTCTACCGTCAGACATTTGCATAGCCACCATGCTGGAGGAGCTGTTGGGGTTGCTCGTGTACTTAATATTGTGCTGTTCCATTCACTGAGAACAGAACATCTGTTTTTCACAGAGTAACATCTTATCATCCTGCCTCAGTACACATGAATGAAGTGAATCAAAATAGGTAAGTCAAAAGTGAAATTTTAAGAACATTGGAAATTCTTTGAAATTTGCTATGTTCTTTGAAACACACACCTTTAATATAGAATGATTTGATTACACCATCCAGCGTTTTGAGTCACACTGGACGGTGTAATAAAATCATTCAACAGTATGGACTAGAATGAATAAAGTTAAACACTCATTTAATTTTTTTCAAAATAAGTGAAATACATTGCAGAAACCTGTTTCTATGTATTTGTACTGAGAAAATGAACATAATTTTGTTACTTCTTAACCATAGCAATACAGTTTCTTTTCTTCAGGTACTTTGCTGTGGAAAGAAAAGATTGTGTAAAGTAATGTAAACTGCTATTCACCATGTATGTCTGAAATGTAAGATATTTTCGATATAAATTAGGCAAAAACATTAAAAAAGAAGTCTGAATCAGCAAAAATCTTTTCATTTTACAACGTAAGAGAACCAACCAGATATGTATCTGTGCCAGTTTTTGTGCAAGAGAACATCTGGAACCGTAAGTATACATCAGATTTTTATAATGTGTCTCATTCTATGTTGGGACAAGAAGATTGAAGGTTTGGAAACTGTCCTCACCATTATTATGTGTTTCTTTCTTGCAACAAATATATACACAGTTCTAGGACAATGATTCTTAGACAGTGTGAACGGATTATTTAATTTATTTACAGTTTTCTTTAAATTTCCTTCAAATAGCACCTCAATTATCCTCATGAGGCTGAGTGGACCCCGCTCCAGACCTACTACTACTCAGAAAATCTGGTAGCTCCGGGAATCGAACCTGTGACCTCTGGATCTGTTGGCAGGAACTTCGACTGCTCCGACTGCTAGACAGCAGATCAACACGATTATGTAATTAGCGACATATACGTTAGAGGTCAGGCCAGTCTACAAATAATCGACTGTAGAACAGTCGATATTCCTAGCGTATCCCTGGTCGATATGCTGTGGGAAAGTGTATGAACGTGTATGAATCAGTCAAAGTGGTCAAGGTCGTCGAGCGTCATCGAGGTGATCGAGGTAGCAGACCGTAGCGCGTTGTAGTAGAGTGGTACTATATGGCAGATGCTGGCTACGAAGGGTTTACGTTTTGGGGGAGTGGTAGTAGTAGTGTGAGGAGCGACTTAGTAGAACGTGTTTGTGCAAGTTAGTGCTCATATTTTGTTCCTATAAATCTTGCCAATGTCTGCAGACGATAGACTTAAAGTAGTCGCCCGGCATCTGGGTGTTGGGAAGAATGTTTTTCATACATCGATTGCAATGCAGTTGTGCTCTTCTGAAAACAAGACCTCAGATACAGCTCAAGGGGGCGTAGTGCTTCCACAGATTGGGCCATCAAGCGACGCTCGGAAACCACGAAGAAGTAAACCGGTTAAGAGTGTTATTCCTAAGAACAGGTACGGATTTCTACCCAGTATTTGTGTTGGTTTGGGCAGCATTCTCTTTTGTAAATTTGTTATCAGTTTTGGTAAGGCGTTCAACTATAACTTTATCTTTTTATTATGTCTGCTCCTGACATGTGTACCATCCCAGAGTTACATAATAAATGGTGTTTAAAGAGTGCTGATACTGCCTCATGCGGGGGGAGGTTCACACCGCCGACCGAAGAGCAGGTATCTTGGGCTGAGACTTGTCGCGAGTTTCTTCAGCCTTTCTAGAGAAGTGCCGGTATGTTACGTCTTATTAGGGCCTTCCTTACTTCCAAGTGAGCCTCTTATCACAGAATAGAATGTTGTTAGGTTGGAAAATCTGAAATATATAGGTGGTGATGATAATATTGACATGAATCCGGAGAAAGCGGTTGTTAGGATATGAACTATTTCAAGACAAATTCTAATTATGGGTCTTTGTAATGACAGTGTTATTCCAGGTTTCTGAGCTTTGAGCTTTTTTTCTTTCTGTTTTGAGCAATTGGATGTATTTGGTTGCTCAGAAGAGAAGATTCTGTCATTAACAGTATGGGCAAGGAAGTAATTATAGCTTGCTCTAAGATATTATTTCAGCCTTCTACCCACTGAAAGTACTGAAGTTTATGATCATAAGCTAACTGTATACATGAATGTTTTAATGTTAATTATCTAAACATGGTGGCTGAAGAAGTGAGCATTACTTTCCCTGTGTGCTCATATGCAAAGGTGAAACAGGATATTATCTAAGCCCTAGATCACGAAGACATAAGGGCCATGGATGTAAATATCCATGCATTTTAAATGTCTGAACTAGATGGAGCTGCGTATAGCCTACAAGCTTCAGCTGTTGCATCTCCAGGTTAAGAGATTATAGTACCCATTGAGTAAGAACCTGGAGTCATTTTGAATGTACTTGGGAACAAGAAGTCGCAGTGTTCTTGTGAGTGAACTGGATATATTATATCAGGCATGTCACTTCACTGAGCCACTACTGGACACCTTGCATATTTCTTGTGTATGTCATAACCGAGACATTATTTAGTATAGTAACCTCCTGGTTATTTAGTATACAAGCATCTGGAATTCTCATGCAGCCAGGAGAAATTTCAAAAGAAAATTAGGATTCTGACGATGGTGTATGCTGTACAGAACTATCAGGCTTATTTTGGACTCTGTCCAATGTCTGGTATTCATTCATTCATCAGTAATCTGTCAGACGACAGGTCCGCAGTCTCTTCCAAAACAGTTCCTCCATTTAATGCGATCTAGAGCTTTCTCCTTCAAATAAGAATATCCTCTTCTATCCCCAAAGTCATCCAGCATCTTCTTACGTCTTCTTCCTAGTCTTCTGGTCACTTCTATCTGCCCTTCTATCTTTCTCTTTATTTCGTGTAGGATATTCCTCTACTCACTAACTCTAAATAACACTTCTTCATTTCTCCCATAATTGGTCCAACTGATCTTCTCCATCCTTCTCCAACACCACATTTGGTATCTCTGTTTTTGGAAAGAGACTATCCAGGAAAAGTGATAATGTGGTAGTTTTTCCATTTGCTTTCCACATCGCAGTACAACAGCCATTCAAAAACTCTGGTCACGCCTGTTGCTATATGAACTTGAACCATCTTGAGCATCATTTGCTCTGTGCTTCAAGTCGCTGTTGATGACACTGCTAGTCTGGTATATAGAAGACAAAAAACCACAATGTTTCAGAGACTGGTTCTGTCTCCATCCTCAGGTGGATGGGGCAGGATAAACCTACTCAGTTGGGCCCGTTAGAAAGAGCTACACTAGCTCTGTACATCTCTGAAGTTACTTGAAAAACAAGTTTCAGTGTGCATATGTTCAACCACCATTCAGTAGTTCTCTCATCCTCGAGAACTACTGCTCATGCTTCCTTATGCAGGTGTCATTACAATTGTAGTGATCTGTGATTACATTATATACTATTTGGATTTGTTAGATCCCCCCCCAGTGAGTGCATCCTGTTGTGTATTATATATTTGTTTTGTTGAAAGCCGTTACAACACAGCAATTACACATCTTATAATTAGCATGCAGTTCAATAGCTAAGAAGTTTTTAAGTTTATTTACGTGATTATGGCTTCTTGAAAGCCAAAACATGTAGTAAAGTACTACTTGATACTACAGATATATATATTATTAATTGTGATGGCTTTCAATAAAATAAATTGTTAAGATTATGTTACAATGCAACCAAAATCCATCATTCCTCGATCTACTTTCTCACCTAAGAAGAATACTATGCAAGATTTGGCTTTGGAGCAGAAAATGAAAGTATGTAAAAGATCAGACCTCTTTCGTGTTTTTTGAAAGTTTTTCTTATACAAACAGCAGATTCATGTATCCAGAATACCAGAGTTCTCACACCTGCTGGATAACAGAGTTCACTAGAATAACAAATCGCAGTGAAAATAAACATTGTAAGTTCAAAGCAGTCATAATGCAGATAAATGTTTACTGTTATATTGCCCGCAGATACCCAGTAATTATACACACAGAACTTTTTAACTTAACTGAGTCCTTGTTGCTGCAGAGATTCTTATCATGTCAATGCAGGCTTCATGCCTTGGCGATTTCATTTTTAATTTGATCGCCCTAATGAGATTTGGTGAAGAGTACAACATAAGAAGCTCCTTGCCATGTCATTTTCTTCAGCCACTTCTTATTTTTTCTACCTTAGATCCAAACATATTCTTCTCTTTATTCTTAATTATTCTCATCCTTGAACTGCCCTTGGCTTGAGAGACCAAGTTTTACATTTTTTTTTGAGGGAGGGGTGGATTACTGCATGATACAGTCAGTAAGTAGACTGTATGGGGTCAGGCAGTATGATGAGATGGAAAGAATTTGGAACAAAATCATTTTGGCCTAATTGAGACACTTTTTCAGCATTTTCCTGGATGGACTGAGGAAAACCATGAAAATACCTCAGTCAGGATAACTAGTGCCCCAGCTGAAATTTGAAGTGAGCACCTCCCAAACACAAGTCTAGAGCCTTAATTGCTGCACCTACTTACTTAGTTGTGCATGGAAAATAATAGGTGAAATTACTGTTTTGTATGTAACTAAATCCATAGAAGGAGCCAGGATAGTGTAGTCGGTATAGCGACAGGCTGTGGGATGGATGACCAAGGAGTTGTCAAATCCCTGCAGGGTCAAGAATTTTCTCCACATCATCCAGACCGGCTTTGAGGCCCGCCCAGCCTCTTATCCAATGGGTACTGGGGGACTTTTTCCACAGGAGTGAAGCGGCCGGAGCGTGGAGCTAACCATTCACCTTCAATTAGTGCCGAGGTCAAGAAGACGTGGATCTATACATCCACTTCCCCATACGCCTTCATGGGGTAGTGCTTAATTAGTTAAGCACAGGGAAGACCCATTTTAATATTATGTCATGTAGACCCGTTGATAGGCAATGACCACAAAATAAAAAACTAAATGACATTTAGTAGGAAACGACCTGTAAATATCAACAGAGGAACGGTGTTTTCTGTGTGGATCTTGCCAAGATGTTATAAGCAGAACAGTTAGTGAGGAGTGAGTTCAGTCAGTTGAGTTGAGTGAGTTGGTTGGTGAGTGACTAGGTTAGTCAGTCAGAGACCTGCTCAGGTTCAGTTGTTTTGAGTTGTTGCTCTGAGAAGCTGGTAGCTGAGGCTGGGGATAGTTTGGGAAGTGAGAGGAAAGGGAATGTCCGCTGTTGGAAGCCACTACCGAGCGATGGCTAGTGAAGAGATTGCTATGGGCACTGGTGTGTGTGTGTAATAGTGAACTGTAACTTGTAGTCATGCACTGTATCAAAGAGTCCAATAAATCCGTTAATCAGTCCAAAACCTGTCTGTAGTCACAATCATACATATGGCAATATTATTCTTCCACCTGTGTCTAGGTCTTCCTTGTTGTTTCTTCTGTTCAGGTTTTCCAATTAAAATTTTTTATGCACTTTTGCTTGTGTCTTGTGTATGCTATATGCCCTGGCTGTCTCACCCTCTTTTACTTCACCATTCTAATTATATTTGACGAGGAGTACAAGTTAGGAAGCTCGTCATATGCATTTTTATCTGGCCTCCTGTTGTTCATCTTAGGTTTAAATATTCTCCTCAGAATTCTGTTATGAAACATCTGTAGTCTGTGTTCTTCCCTTAATATGAGAGACAAAGTTTCATAACCATACAAAACTACAGATATTTCATTCTTATATGTAGGAAATGGAAAGATAGAAGTTTCCGAAAGGCACGTTAGGAAAAAATCTCCACATCTGATCTACAAACTGTTAAGATAATATTTTTAGTAAAATGGAAAGTAACAAAATAGAGACCATAGAAATTATTTTGGTTGTGGAGAATGATCTGCAAAGGCCAGTCTTCATAACCATAAATTCTGAATGGCAAATCCTTTTACTGTTAATTTTTCTTATCCCTGTATTGAGCAGTTTCTTGGTTCTTAAAGATTAAGCAGTAACTTAGTGTATGTATTTGTCATGGAAGTTGGCAAAGTGACATTTTTCTGGGATTGAGTTTAGTTGCTTTCTTCTGGATTTGAGTTTAGTTGCTTTCTTCTGGCTTTGAGTTTAGTTGCTTTCTTCTGGCTTTGAGTGTAGTTGCTCTCTTCTGGGTTTGAGTTTAGTTGCTCTCTTCTGGGTTTGAGTTTAGTTGCTCTCTTCTAGGTTTGAGTTTAGTTGCTCTCTTCTGGGTATGAGTGTAGTTGCTTTCTTCTGGGTTTGAGTTTAGTTGCTTTCTTCTGGCTTTGAATGTTTCTTCTGGGTATGAGTTTAGTTGCTTTCTTCTGGGTATGAGTTTAGTTGCTTTCTTCTGGGTTTGAGTTTAGTTGCTCTCTTGATTTATTTAGAGATACTTTTTCATAGAGGTAGGATATATTGCATTGACTGACAGCAAGTTTTTAAATATGAATTAGGAAAGGAAGGGGAAGGAAGCAGTGTGGCCCGCTGCAAGGTGCTATCTGCACATTTGCCTGAAGAGCCTGATTGAGGATCAGGATTAACCTCCTTGGAGATGAGGCTCAGATACAGGCGTGCTGGCCAGTACACCACGCCATTTTGGTGTTTTGTGCTTAATTTTGAATGTTGTGTGTCTGATGTACCTAATAATTTTGTCTCTTCTTTACAGTTTTTTTTTCCCATAATTCAAAATATAGTTACGTACTTTCTTTTCAGGCAGGAGTTGCTAAAATGGAATGGTTGGGGATACAAGGATTCAAAGTTTGTTGTGGAAAATGGGATAGTTAGTTTCACAGGAAATCGGTACGTAATTTTGTTATAAATACAGTAGAATCCTGATTATCCAATGTTGTTTATCCATGAACTTTTTTATGAACGCTCACAAACTTGAGGTGTGCCGATTAAGTTTGATTAGTGCTTCTGTCTGGAAACAACTTGAGAACTGCAGGACTGATTTTCACAAAATTTTATATTGGAAAATTTCACGAGGCAGTATGGAGCCATTTCAGTTTTTATTTTGGCTGGACAATTTTAATATCCATTTTATATGAAGACCTACATGCATTTCTGCACATATACGTATCTCAAATGTAACTTGATGAGTAATTGTTATCTTACATTCATTACATTCCTCCCCAAGTGTAATGGTTTTCTATATAACTGAAGGGATGCATACATTTCCAAATCTATGTATTCAACAACCATCATGTTATCCTGTTTATTATAATTATTATTATTGTTATTATTATTTGTGTGTCTTTTCCACTTCATTAACATGGATAATCAATAGTATCCTCTAATTTGTTTAATAATGAAAAAAAAAATGTATTCATGTGTTAAAACTAACAAGAATTCTAAGATATTGTTCTGTCTCTTGCTAGGTATGCCATTGGCAATCTGTCTCTTCCTTACTTTACTGAGTGGGTCTTGGAAAAATTTGATGTTGATCTGAATTCTGGAAAAATTGCTGACCCTGTGCCTAAACAAGATAATTTCCCATCACCCATTGTGGACGCAGGTACTGTTCAATTTCATAGTTAAGATATAATTTCAGAGAGTTCTTTATTGATTATTAGTACACGCGAAGTCTAGTATTAATAAATTTCTGGACTTCGTCTGTTCACATTGTTTTGGTATCTGGTCTTTTCTTGTCCTCAAGTGCAGAGTGCCTGCTTTATTGGGTTTCTTAGCAAGAGCTGATCTCAGTCACCGGACAGCCAAAGTTGAATGGGAGCAGATCAGGTCCAGAAATACTGTGTTCTGTTTTGGAATATTGCATGGTGGACAGAGTCCATAAATTTAATTATACTGAATGTAGTGCACAACCATGCCACAGCTCAGGCAGTTAATCGCTGGCTTCCAACTGCGGCAGCCCAGGTTAAATCCCAGGTTAGGTCATGTGGGATTTGTGGTGGACAGAGTTGCACTGGGGTAGATTTTCCCTGAGCACTTCAGTTTCCCCTGCCAGTTCTCGTTCCACCCACTGCTCCATACTCACCGATCATCTGTGGATGGTACAGTGGGCCATTTAGTGGCCAGTATGCCAACTGGGTTCAGTCTCACCTCACCTGACAAAACAAAAAAATGTATAGTATACCATCATCAGGATCAACTTATTAAATTGCCCATCACATTTTTTGCCATCTGTTGGTATTGTGCTGTAGCTTGTGCTTCATAAAGTGAATTCTTTCATCAGTATGGCATCTGAAGCTAGAGACCCATCAACAAAAGTTGTTGATGGTAGAAATATATATATATATGTTTTTTTATTCACCATGTAAGTATTTTCCCCAGTATAACATGCGTCATTGAAAAATTTACCAGCACTACACTTGTTTTAATATAATAATAATAATGAGTTTTTAATGGGAAAATTTATAATATGTGTAAAATTTGTAGTGTTATTTTGTGGTAAAGTTTCTGTGGATATGTGGTCTTGTAATGTTTCTTATATTGACACTAAAGCTGCTTGTATGTATATTTTGACATGATCAGATTCTTCCCTTTGCGGATGACAGAATCGTGGGCAGCATGTATAAACAAAAAGCTCAGTGATGGGTATGAAGTAAACTCCTGTTAACTTAGTTTTAAGTGTAAGCTTTATATGTTCAAAAATATAACTGCAGAGATAGTAGTAATGATGCCGTGTAGTTTGGTAGATAGGTACCAGTGTTTCAGAGGAACTTATGGTCTCCGACTTCAGGGTAGAACTCACTCTTCAGCTCTGAAGATGGAGGCAACACATCCTCCAAGATTTCATTAATAGTCATATGGTGTCAGATCCCAGAACATAGTCTTAGTCATATTGGCTTTTGTGAAAACATGACATATTGGTTTAAAAGATATTAGTAAGATTCAAACCATCTGTGCACTGACATCATAATACTATTGCTGACAATTTTCCTTATTGCATAGAGAAAGCAGGATATAAGTTAAGAATTACAATGCATATAAACACATATTTCCATTAAAAGGAGACAACATATTTTATAACGTTCTGAAATTAGAGTAATCTCTAGAAAAATGACTGATTAGAACAAAATTAACATTAATTTCCAGAGCTAATCATTTATTTGCTAACAGACTGTGTTACCTTGACATATTTTCTGGAAATAAAATGTTGTCAGACATTTTGCAGGAAGATTTTTCTATGCCTTAAATATTTCTTCCTCTGCCAAATATTTAAAAGGAGTTCCGGGTGGCCTGTTATCATGTTATATAGATTATTAGTCATCTGGACCTATAATAATACTATTGTTATTTATTTTATTCACATGAAGAATTTGTTACCTAGGCACAAATTATGTTTACATCATGTTTACATTCATAGTTTTGCAATATTGTCATGTGTGTAATTCTTGACTTTCAGTATTTCATACACGAGTCATGGGTTTTTTTTTATCTGTTTCCATACCAAATTCCACTTACCTAGCTGCAGTAGGAGTGTTTGCATAGTTGCTGTGTTGTCATTTGCATTCTGTAAATAATTGAGTAAGAAGTTGATATAAGTGGCATTAATGTTGCTCTGGTGCTCACAGCTCACATGTTTACACATCTGCCATGATGTAAGTACATGACTACAGGAAATTAAAAAGTGTAAAGTTGACATGCTTTCACATAGTCCAATGCTCATTCCAAGTTCTTTCAGAATTGCTTATATTTGAAAAAAGGGGGGGGGGAGCAATGTTTTTTCATAAGCTTACCATTTTCCTTACAGAAGGATTGTGGGTTACAAAATCTACTAAAAGTGTCTACTAAATTACTTGATATAATTACTGTACATGTAATATAATTTATTCCAGGATTAATATGGCTGATTCTCCTGTTGTAGTGCTGGGTTTTGTCCATAACTTTTTGTGTTGAAATGTGACACTTATATTTTGTGCAACATTTTTCAGTTAGAATTTTATTTAATCAAATACAAGGGAATTTATTCCCTATGTAGTATAGTACATTTACCATTGATTAGCTTCCTTGATAATAGATTTGTATCTGCAGTATCAACATCAGTAGTAGGTTTGAAACCACATCTAGAGAATCTGTGTATTGCAAATTAGTCTGTTTTTAAATGTGATACAGTTTTCTCATACTTGTAGAAAAATATTATAATTCTTCAAAGAATATTTCTGGAAATGTGTTCATTACCACCCTCGTCATTAGTGCCTGCCTTATTGATTACTTTGTTTAAGGAATGTTTAGTTAGTTTCACCGAGACATCATTTAGATGAGCTCGTTCACTGAATATTTTGACTTATTATTATGTATTTGCAAACAGGTGATAAGCCTTATCACCACTTTTTTTACTTGTGCAGGATATAATTGTATGCTCAAGGCCTTAACAGTTTTTTTTTTCTTGGCACTACAGCCCCAGTGGGCCTAGGCCTACCTCCATGAACTTCTCCATTCACTTCGGTTTTTCTAGATCTTACACATTCGGTAGGACTCCTTGGGCGGGTGATCAGCTCGTTGCAAGGCCACTAACTGTACACAAACACAGAAAAACGCACACACACAAACTAAACATCCATGCCCTGAGTGGGATTCGAACCCACGATCCCGGTTTCCAAGGGAGCGAAGACAGTACATGCCTTAGACCGCTCGGCTACCGTGACCAGTGGCCTTAACGGTTACATTTTTATTATTCAAGTACACCGTTAAAAGATACAGTTGTGTTGTTTATTAAAACTGCTTTATTTTATCTTTTACCTTCACCATTGCTGACTTCAATGCATCAAGGTTTTGTGACAGGATATTTGTTTACAGTTTGCATATTTATTATTGTCTGTGTCTCACCATGGTACCTCTTGTTTATAGGTATGCATAATGTTAATACCTTGTGGGTAACCCTTGCTGTATCTTTCATATTCTAAAATCTTTGTTTATTTGTGATGACATATGAGAGACTGAGATAAGAAGTGTTGACCAAATTAAACAGTAATAAAAGTTCAAGCAAGGAATTTCTTGATGAAGTAAGTGACTATCAACTTCATAAAATTTACTGCTTCATGAAGTTCTGGATTCAGTTTACCCTTACAGGCCTGACTCGTTCCACATGCTGCTGACTGTGGCTATCATAACTTCAGTTCATATTGGTTTTTCTTTGTCCCTGGAAATAAATTTAGTTTGAAGATATTTAGTGCTAGTCAAGTAACGCTTGTTTGCAAATGTTCGAACACAAAAGAAGTATATTGAAGATACATTCAGCAGTATTGTAAATTAGTTGTCCATTGTGCGATTATGCCGCTGATGAGGACTTCCAGGGGTCTAAACTTGAGGGATGTCACACAGAATGAATTATAAAAAGAAGAGAGCGTAGTCGGTATAGCGACTGGCCATGGACTGGCCGACCAAGGGGTCGGAATTTGAGTCCTGTTAGGGTCAAGAATTTTCACTTCTCCAATCATCAAGACCGGCTCTCGGGTCCACCCAATCTCCTATAGAATGGGTACCAGGAGCTCTTTCCCCTGGGGTTAGAGCATCCAGGGCATGAAGATGACCACTCACCTCCAACTACTGCCAAGGTCAAGAAAATGTGTATCTATACATCCACTCCCTCATACGTCTTCATGACATAATGCTTAATTAACATTTTTAGTTAATAATATTCTTGTCCAAATTAATTGCATTTGATTGATTTAATATTGTTTATTAGAAATAGAATGCAATGGAAAACAGTTTTAATTTCAGGTAGAACTTTAAAATAGGTCATAGCAACTTCATATTCATCCCAATATAGTGGTCATGATCATTCTTCCATAGCTCATTAAATGCTACATAACCTTACGGTTAAATCTAATTCTTCTTGTATGGCATGACAGACTAGTCGAAAGTGGCACTAAGGCAGGTTTTCTCTGAGTACTTTGTGTGCTCTGTTTTTTTACTCATCTGTCATCTGGAGGCCAGTAAAAGAGGTCATGTATTCCCTAAGTCCCAAAGATTTGAATCTCATATGACCCTAAAATTAAAAATAAATTGGAAGTTGCTTCATCCTGTTCGGTCCAGATGTCATTGATGATGTCTATTTGTTCCTTGGTCACTCCTCTGTATCAATTTGCTGTGACTGTTATTGCATCACTTTCTTCATTATAAAAGAGGAAAGCACTAGAATACAAAATGACAGCAAAGCATACTAATGTGGCCTAAGCCCAGAATTAAGAGATTGTGCATAAGGATTTTGAGTAGCCCAGTAACAGTAAGTTTTATTTATGGGTCTCTGCTAGCATGAAAGTGAACCTTATCTCTGATGAACGTTTATGTGCTATATTTGGTGCCATCTGTTTTGCAACTCCAGAAAGTGCCTGCAGAACTGCAGGTAGTTTTGTGCATCACCTGCTCTTTTGATAGCTGATGGAGGCAAGAGATTTTTCTCTTCTCTACTATCTTGAGACTGGCTCTGAGGCCCATCCAGCCTCGTACCCCAGGAAAATTATTTAATTAATTCCTGGTACTCATATTTGTTAGAGGCTGAGTCAACCACAGGGCCATAGTGCGGCCGGAAGGATTAGGTCAATTGAAAAA